ATTGTATATTCGAAAGTTGCTAAGAAAGTGATCTTAAAAGTTCTCAACACCAGCAAAAAGATATGTAACCATGTGAAGTGATGTGTATTAACTAAACTTATGGTTGTAATCACTTCGTAATATATACATATATTAAATCATGTTGTATACTTTAATACATTATATATCAATTATATCTCAATAAAATGAGGGAAAAAATAAATACACAGATCTCAGGTGCCAAAGCCCAAATTCTGACTCCACCACCCTATGTCCCTAAGAGAAAGGAAGGTTATCTTTGGTCATTTGTAGTTAACCTTATCTCTCCCTGCTTCTGCAAACAGGCCTGCCAATTCTTACTGGTCAACACACAGCGGGATACACAGGCCTGAGAAGATGCTGACAGATAAGTGACACCTTCAGGCTTCCCATCATTCCTTTGCTGTGTCAGTGGTGACCGCCCAGTGCTGCACCTGTGTGCTCAAATTCTGCTGGGGCTCCTTCCTTCCAGTTTGGCTCTATTGTTCGGCTATGGATCTGATGTCTGTCTTTGGAATCCACTTTTTGCTTCCTTATTCAGGCTCCATCTTACACAGGCAACCTTCCTTATAGCTGGCCCCTACCTACAGGACATTCTTTAGAACTGGCACTCCTGGCCTCACAAAACTCCTTATTCAGATCCCTCCTGATTAACTGATGCTGAAAGAACTTTCACATTTGCCCCCTTTGTGGGATAGAAAAACAAAATCATAGGACAGGTGAGATGGGGGTGAGAGGAGGACCTCAGGAAATGGAAGGAGATGAGGTCACATAATTTTAGCCAATACACAGTGATTTCCAATAAACACATTAAATATTATTTGTCAAATTATACAAGTCCTAGAATGAAAGGTCATTTACCAATTAGAAGGGGTGTCTCTCCGTTGTCATTTTTGGTGTTTGGCCACACTCCTTTCTCTAGTAAAGTTCTTACATTTTCCACCAGACCAGCTTTGACTGCCAAGGTCAAGGGTGTTTCTCCATCAGAGGTCTTGAACTCCCAGAGCGTCTGATAGGATGCTGAGACACGAAAGCATTGGGTAAAGTTAAGAATCTTTACTTAAAGGATGTCATATAGATCAGAACAATGCAATATTATTACAC